TCCTTGTACGCCGTTTTTAACATTTCAAGAGTTTCTGTTCCACTTTTCCCGAGCAAAAAGCAGAATTTCACCGCCGCACGCTGTTCACGAAAATCAGCCATTGCAAAAACGACGATCACACAAAACAGTTGTCACTATAAACTTTGCCGAAACTAGTCCTTACCTTCTGAAGCAATGGTAGTCGGCTTATCGACTCAGGAATGTTAGCTCTATACACTCATAGCGGCAAAACGCGGTACTACAAAAGCTCTGCCCACAAAAAAATTAGTTCGGTTTCTTTTGGGTACCCCATCGTAAATATAACAATATAATAATGTTTCCATCTGGCATAAAAGTATTTAAAAAGTTATGAAACACCTAAAAAACTTCTTATTGGTTGCTGAAGTAAGAATAGCCATGAATTTTAATCATCTGTGAACACTCCATTATTTATATCCCTGGATAAGATGTATTTATTTTACTCCTTCCAAAGAAGTTTCAAATGACACTTTCTAAACAACGATACTATCACTGATATGCCATTCCAGTCCACTTTGCACGGTTAAAAATACCAGTTCTATTGCAAGAGTACTTCATGATATCCTCAAACCTAATTCAAGAGTATGACCTGGTAATTAGCAGTGTAGCTGTTTGAAGTCAATAAATGTTAGGTTTAGTCATTGTGTGTTTTCTCATTTATTTATAGACCATAGGTACTTAATGACAGTCAGTGTTGGATAAATGACTTTGACTGATTGCAGTTATGTATAAGCGACATATATCTTTAGACTCATGGGTTCATATTCCTGAGACCATCTGTTTCAACAGGTTTATTCTAGTTGGAATAATTCATAAAGTAAACTAGTTTTATTCCTAAATCTCAACCATTTACAAGTTGTTATAAGCTTAACATCATTCAGTACTTGCACTGCTTTTGTTACAGTAAGTATTGCCACACCCTTATTAAAGTATAGATGATATTCATTGTAATATGAGATTTTCTTATATGCACTTTAAGAGTTGTCCTTGTATAGCTGGGATTTCATGTAACTTCAATTTTCATTTGACAATTATGAATGATCCAAAACAGTTTAAAAGAATAATGAAACATTGTTTCTCTTGGCATAAGTAATATATCAGGTGACTACTTACCTTCTTATCCAAGAGGTGGTTAAACAAATAACAGTGATTAGTTGCCTCTTATCTGTGGCAGAACAAGAATGATGTGCAGTGTTAGTTTAAACTATGTTTAATTGAAAGAAAATCTCTTTCTCCTCTGGCTGGGAGAGTGACATTTCACTAGATGTACAAGTCTGGGTGGAATTGCTGACTAGGAGACAAATGTGGCTTTTATTACAATCAGCAGATGGCACAGAAAGCTCATAAATTTGTCTGTATATTCATAATATTCTGTTGTTCATTTCAGAATAGAAGTGTGGAATACAGATAGTGCATTAATAAGTTATGTTTCTTCAGAATAGTGCCCCACTTTAACAGGTTGCACTCACCCAGGTGAAAAGTTCGTATAAAGTTTGATGAAATGCCTTGCGGCAAAAGCAGCAATAGTTATTCCAGTATGATGTCATCTGAGTGATGAACAGTGTTTTTATAGTAATAATAAACATCGGCAGCAGTGTTGTGTTGTGCATGGCAGTAAGGGTTCTGTCCTGGTTGCAGCTGGTCCCTCCAGGTCAGGAGAAAATGGCAGTTGTGGGATAGTACCCCACATAATCTGACCGCACCATGTACCTCATTAATTGTAGATGATACCCTTCTCCTTGTCCTGAATTGTCTGTTGCCAATGGTGTTATCTGTTAGCTTTTTAGATGAAAGAACTAACTCTTTTCTAAGTGTCTTCTGAGTCTGACTGTTGCATTCTTATTATTATGATTTTATTATTAATTGATTAACATATTTTTCTTGTTTGTGTTTGTCTGCTTGCATGGATAAGGCTGCAAAGGTGATGATAACATTCTTCCAAAAACATATTTTATGTTCTTAGTTTGTATTGTTTGCGTGGATGGAGTAATTTTAGAACCACCCATCTATCTGCTGAAAAAATTGTTTTACTCTTATGGCCAGGTTCTAAGAGGACAAAAGTTATAGGCTTAAATGGTCCGTTTGAAATAAAATTAATATTGTTATTTATCTTCAGATTAAGACTCGTGAACTCATTTCCCAATAAAATGGGGATATTAAAATCAAAACAACACCTTAAAATGAGGTAAATTTTAATCTACTCTTGGGTGGTGTTCCAGAAGATTATCTTCATTTTATTTGTACTGAGAGACATTGTTTCCTTACATTCTTAGAAATTTACTGTGGTTATGAGGCATTTATCTCTCTAGGTATATTGAAAACAAAAATACGTTTTCTATTAAGCATAATGAAATTAATTTATTTCATAATTTTAGTTTAGTTATTATGATACAAATGAATAATAACAATAAATTCAGTGCTTGACATTGTTGCTAAACAACAGTGTTACGATTATTTTTCCTTTTTTCGTTGATTTAGTCATATGTTTCTGGCAAGTGAGGCAGTGGGTTGGGATATATGGTGGACGGCAGGACGAGTCTACAGGTACAGTAAAACCTCTGTTCATATCACCCACTACCTCTTAGCATGAAATTTGTTGTGTGATTACAATTCCATTCTAAAATAATAATGACCCTTTGCCTTCACCTGCATCAAGCTTGTTTCTTTCAACATTCTACCAACTACCTACAAATAATAAACACAAAGTGGACTAATGTTAAGCTCACCATGAGTGTGCTTCCTCTGACTGTGCTCCATTGTTTGGCCATTTGTCTTTGTTCTTACATTCAATAGGCATGGAAGGGTTTGCTGTATTTATGAGATATTGTTGTGAACAGTTCAGTAACAGAATGGACTTAATGTTGGGTTAGTGTCTCAGCTTATTCATATAGTATTTCAGTTCTTGGATAACAATTAGATGTACAGTAATAGCTGGATATATCTTTTCCATTAAAAATACATATACACATACATATAAAATACAAATACATAAATACACTAAGGGTACATGAAGTCCAGGACATGATGCTGAGACTTATGTGTTTTGTGTTCACATTTGAAAAATCCTCTGAAATAGCTGCCCTAACTGGCAAGTCTTTTCTTCTTTACACTGTCTATTCTGACGTTAAGAGGTGTTTTAAAATAGACCCTGGTTGTTTCCTTATAATTTTATGTTATTCACAATTGGTAATTATTTTACTCTCTCTTATTGTATTGCTACAAAAGTATGGGATGCAAATTGCAGAAACATTTAACATGCCAATTTTCTACTACAGAAATGGCTTAAACTAACTTTAGAAGAACAAGAATACTTGTAACTTTCTTTGAGATGGAACATACTGGAACATTTTTCAAAACAGATGCCCTTTTAAGCTATTTTGTGGCTACAGTTAACTTTATTTGCTACATTCTGACTCAGTAAATGAAGATCCTTTTTATTTGACAGAAGAAAGGTAAAATGGAGAATTTAGGATATTGCATCACAAAGAACATTATGATTTATATGTGCCACTTTATCTTGTCGGAACAGTGAAAGCAAGCAAGGTACAGTGGGATGGGTATGTAACTTAGATGGGTGAAGAAGATGAAGAATTTTACTAGGTAAACTGCTTGAAGACTGGGGAAGAGACAGGATACTAGCACTAAGGTCGACATTTTGGGAAAAAAGTTTTGAAGGTAGGAGATAGGTGGTATTAGTTCAGGATCATGCCAGTTTTATGCGTTTACATAACAACTTTGAAACTCTTGGTTCTTCTGCCAGAGATTTAGTGTTTATATGGCATAACTAATAACATCCAATGAAGAAGTGACCAATTTTAAAGAAGTTTGGACACTTATCTTTCCCTTAAGAATAGAAGCATTCATAATTCTGATTTCATATAAATGCCACTGGGAAGCATTACTGTAAATTACAAGTAGTGATGATATTTTGATTGATTTTATAATGCATATTAAATTAATTTTGCTTGTTAAAACTTGATTTTCTTCTATGACAACCACTTGCTACAAAAACTCTGTAACACTAAAGTCAGCAGTGGTCTGATGATGAGGTTTTACTGTACTTGTTCCTCATTACTGAACTCTCAGACACATATCCTCAAACACTGGAAGTGATGGTGTACATGTACTAGAAGTAGAACATCTCTGAAGGTGTGTCATCATAAGATAGTGACAGAGATTGTTACAGCATCATCAGAAAGTTACTAGATCCTGTGTTCAACATATGGGGATATAAATATAAACTACCTTAATGAATCTAAAGAGAAAAATGAATTAAATAATTTATTAAATTCATACAATCTTGTAAGTATAATTCATTTTCCCACAAGAATTACTAGCAATTCAAAAACTACCATTGATAATATTTTCCTTGATTCTACCAAATTTGTAAACTTTGTAACCTCCTCATTATCAAACGGCTTATCAGATCACGACGCCCAGATGTTAGAAATATACACACGTAAATTAAATTGTAAAAGAGTAAATCATAAAGTTAGAATTATAAGGAAAATTGACTCATATTCTATAATGGAATTTAAAGATAAGCTGAGTGAGGAGCAATGGCAAACCATATTTGATAACACCAACAAAGATGTGAATGATATTTTTAATTCTTTTTTGAATACATACCTGCAGATTTTTTATTCATGTTTCCCTAAAATAAAAGTCTATGAAAGAAAGTCAACTAATCAATGGATAACAAAAGGCATAATAAATTCTTGCAAAAGGAAAAAGGAGCTATACTTGTTAATGAGGTCTAATAATGATGAGAAACTGAGAAATTACTATTTAAGGTATAGTAAGATCTTATCAAAAATAATAAAAGCTGCCAAAAAGTTGAACTACAATAATAAAATTATCTATGCTCACAATAAGATTAAAGCAACATGGAATGTTATAAAAAGTGATATGGGAGTAAATAACAACAAAACTGATAAACGAGATATAGACACAAATTGTGAAGAAGCTTCCATAAAAATTAATGCTGAGAATTTCAACGATCACTTTTTAAAAATTGCTGAAAGTATCTCTGGTAAAATTAAGAGTAATAATAGTTTAAATACTAATAGCACTACTTACTCTCCATTCAACTTATCGCAGATTCTAAATTTTCAGTATGATAACATTATATTTCACAATACTTCTACAGGCGAAATTGAAGAAATTATAAAAAATCTTCCCTGGAAAAACAGTTGTGGTTACGATGAAATATCCATAAAATTATTGAAAATTAGTGCACCCTTTATTAGCTCTCCATTATGTTGTATTATAAATAAGTCATTATCTACAGGTGTTTTTCCAAGTAGACTGAAATATTCGATTGTTACCCCTATATACAAGAAAGGTGATAAAAATAATGTATCAAATTTTAGACCAATTTCTCTATTACCATCTTTCTCTAAGATTTTCGAAAAAGTTATATATAAGAGAATAATGGCTCACCTTATTACAAATAATATCCTTTCAAATTGTCAGTTTGGATTTAGGAAGAACACATCAACTATAAATGCAACCTACAAATTAACAAATGATATACTGATGGCCTTAAATAATAAAAGGAAAAGTGGTGGTATATTTTTTGACTTGGAGAAGGCTTTTGATTGTGTGGACCATGGTATATTATTGGTTAAAATGAAATATTATGGTGTAAGCGGTGTGATGTATTCTCTAATTGAGTCATATTTAGAAAATAGATACCAAAGAGTAAAATTTAACAATAAGTTATCAAATTGGGGAAAAATTGATAAAGGAGTTCCTCAAGGATCGATTTTGGGTCCGCTATTGTTTTTGATTTATGTAAATGACTTACCCTCCTTTATACAGTGTTCTGTCCCATCACATACATCAGTTGTGCTATTTGCCGATGATACAAGTGTAATAGTAAATGAATTAAATTTTATGCAGCTGGAAAAAAAACTTACTACGGTGTTTAGATCGATGAATGAATGGTTTAATTCAAATATGCTTTCATTAAATTTAGGCAAGACTTGCTGTGTAAATTTCTCAGCTAAACATAATTTTACCAAAAAATTAAATATTGAATATGGAAACAAAATTTTATTAGAGTCAAATGAGGTAAAATTCTTGGGTATGACACTGGATAACACAATATCTTGGAAAAAGCATATAGATTCAATTATAGGTAAATTAAATAAAGCCTGTTACATAATTAGGAAAACCAAACAGTATTTAAATATTGATGCCCTTAAAATGGTGTATTACGCCTTTTTCCACTCAGTGATGTCTTACGGTTTGATTTTTTGGGGAAATAGAACTCTCAGTATGTGCGTTTTTAAATTGCAGAAGAGAGCTGTTCGAATAATGGTGGGAGCTGGAAACAGAGATTCATGTAAAAAAATCTTTAGACAATTGAAAATATTACCACTGCCCTCTCAATATATATATTCTTTGATGATGTTTGTAGTTAATAATATGGATTTATTTGCAGAAAATTCAGATATATATACAACTGTAACAAGAAATAGTTCAAATTTGCATCTCCCCTCGTCAAATCTAACAGCATTTCAGAAAGGTCCACAGTATTTTGGAATCAAAATTTATAATAGTCTTCCACGCAAAATAAAACAGTTATCCAAAAACAAAAATCGATTCAAGAAAGCACTATTACAATTTCTCCATTTACATTCATTTTATGGTATTGATGAATTTTTTGATTACACGGTTAAGAAGATTGATAATTGATTTTATTGGGATTAAATACTTAATTAATGAAAAGTTAAATTACAAGTTTTATAATTTTAAAATTATGTTTACATAAATATTTTAACATGTATTATATTTTTTGTAATTATTATATTTAATTGTTATATTGGACTATTGTCTATATCCTGAGTCTTACGACCTTGTAAAGGATTTTTGACATGTAAATAAATGAAATGAAATGAAATGAAATGGATACCAGTTACACCATACTGAAGATCTCGTTGAACACAGAAATATTTGCTTAAGATTACCTCATCAAGGTATGACATGCCCTCATAGATGGATCGGATAAAGGGTAGCAGTATATCAACACTTAAAAAACCGTCAATGTCATTTTTTGTGTTTTTAATTTTGTTTATTTGTGATATTTGAAAGATGAAATTTAGTATGTCATTCATTACATCCAAAACAACAGTTTTCCTTTGTTTATTCTTTCATTGCCACATGCCTCATATGTACAGGATTGTTCCTTATTACAAATGATAAAACAGTTCCGTTCAGTGTGACTGTTGAAGCTTTTATTACATCACTTCTTAGTACCCTAACGTGTTTCGGTCCCTATAGACCATCATCAGAAGGAATATCAATACTTTTAGAAACTACTATTACATCAGGTGTTTTGATTTTTAAAATACAAAAATATACAATATTTGTAATATACACTTTTACAAAATCCAAATTTCTTACAACTACAGCAACTGCCCTTGATGCATTAAAGTTTTTTAAAAACTTCTTATTATTTAAGTTAAAATTAAAATTATTTAACTGAATAGGTTCGTGTCCCTTGTCCTTTCGTTTTTTTTTTTTGACAGGGCTGAACTTGTGCTGTCTGTTTTTATTGTCTTGGATTTTGTAAAAGTGTATATTACAAATATTGTATATTTATGTATTTTAAAAATCAAAACACCCGATGTAATAGTAGTTTCTAAAAGTATTGATGTTCCCTCTGATGATGGTCTATAGGGACTGAAACATGTTAGGGTACTAAGAAGTGATGTAATAAAAGCTCTAACAGTCACACTGGATGGAATTGTTTTATCATTTGTAATATTGTTAGTGTGCCGGACCAGACTGAAACAAATCAGATTTTTCCTTAGTTTGATACTTTGTTCCATTCCCCTGTGAAAGAATCTGGGGAATATAATTGTGCTGTACTTAAGTGACACTAATTTCTTGACTTGGAAACAAGTCTCCAGTTTACAGTGGCTTCATTGTTACTATCCCCATTTATAAGAAATTTAAGACAAGTACTTAGGTGTTAAATACAAATTCTGCTTAGATCAGAGATAGGAGAAATACATGCAAAAGTCTGTAGAGAGATGCACTATAAAGGAATGACTTTGAATTCAGGGAAGGGGATAGGAAGATAATATTGAACTACAATTTAGGGAAATAGGTTTAAATGAAATTAACTGGCTCATGATCATGTACAGTGGTGAGTTCTTAATATTACCGGTATTGACTCTTTGTGCTCTGGTCCCAGAAAATTAGTGTGCCCTGGATTATGAATTGAAAATCGTAGCTTACTCAAGTCTGAATTTCCCGGAAGCAACATGTAATAAGGCCAGCCTATCTTTGTATATAATTGGTTCTGATTTACGACAAGAGAACTTAATACCAAAGAAATAGTGAATGTTTAAATGTTGATCTTTCTGTAGACATAAGTAAACTGTGCTGCTCTGACTGTATAACTGAATTCTCTATACACTAACCTCTTTGCAAGACTTGTACTAATACTTTTTATAATTATTTATCACTTTCAATTACTCAGATGTGTATATCACTTTGCATGCTGAGACTTATACTGCTCCATATATAACTGTACCTAATGAAGAATGTCCTAGGATCTGGCCAATATGAGTCTGAAAATTAGTCAGTTGTAGTTATTGCTGGAATGCTAATGACAGTGATTTCCCTTGATGTAATTGTGAGTAAGCAGTTATTAGTTTCATCACTATTGGCATGAACCCATAATTATTATTTTTTGTAAATACATGCAAGTAAGATTTTGGCCAGGCTGACATTCTGCTTGGACACCAAATATGATCTCTGCTCATCACCACTTTAAAGTTGCTTACTTTTTGTAGCTTTTGATATGAAATGTGGCTTCATGCAAACTCCAGTCTTGAACCAGTTTGTACTGTCTGTGGTGTGTTGTTTAATTACAGTACATTTACTGTGGTAAAACTATGCCTTTGTTAATTGTTACTTTAAGAAGGTTTTCCCAAAAAAGAACATTCTGTATATGCTTATATTTTATGGAACATTAATACTGTGTGTAATTAAAGAACAGCAGGTTTCTGATCAGTATAACATTCAGCTGAAAATCTTGTGTTTCATTCTTTGTACATATTCAAGTTAGGGTACATACATTGGATGATTTTGTCAAAGAGTACATTGTATGGTGATAAGTTATTAGCAGCCCAGAAATATTGCCAACTATACAATCATAAAGGTATTGCTTAAAGTACATAGAACTTCAGATTTATAAAACATACACAGGTAAAGTTTGTTTGTAGTTGTGATAAGAATCAGTGTAAGATGTCATAGTTCTGCAGGACATAAGCGAAAGAATTTAATATTTTCACTTTATTTCACATTTCTTCCCAGTTTATTGCTTCTGAAAGCACGTTAAAGGGAACAGAGTTTAAAAATTAGAATGTGATTTGGAATCTCTCACTGTTACACTGTTGTATGGAAATATGAAGCTTATAGTGTGCAAGATTAAAAGAGAATTTTAAAAGTTTACTCAGATGTGTTTCTTCAGTTGAAGCATCATATTACATTAATTATTGCATCATTATCATTTTCATCATCATCATTACTTTTCAGTCTTTATATGAGTATTTTAAATGATGAGATGTTTATTAAGGAGAAAACCCAATACTTTAACAGATGAGACTCCATTTAAAAAATTGAAAAGGCAAAGAATTTGTGGCCCTTGATTCACCTTTCCTTGTTGAAACCTAGTCACATAGTGCTCTTTCTTCAGTTGTAATTGTTGTACCTGCAGTAATGACCAATATTTAAGATTATTGTGAAAATTATGACATACAGGTTTCTTAACATGCAATACTTCATATAGGACATACCAGACACTTACGTTCCATTAACTATAATGCCATTTGTCTCAGTACATTTTTGTTGAACTTTTGTTCAAAGCAAAATAGATAAATTGATTTAGTTCAGAAGTGTCTATGATCTAGTTCCACTTCAGCCAAATTTATGAACCATTGGTTAAAGTCAAGTATAAATATTTCTTGAAGAGAAATAATTTCCATGCTGCTTTTACTGAAGAATTATGTACTGTCAATAAGGGTGCAAAATCCACCTATTCTATTTTCCTTGCTCTCACTCTATGTTCCATCATATCTTGCACTTCAGACATTTTAATATCATGCTCTTTATACTCAAATACCAGGTACTGTGGCACTTTTGTAGCAAGTGCTGCATCCTAAAAATCGTTAACAGTATTAAGTTCCACAAGGCCACACAGTCCACGACCGACTCACATAGCTACCCCCAGCCCGCCCCAGCTTAAGGGTTAATGCCCTCCCATTAACCTTGCCTTTCTCCCCCAACACAATATCCCATATACCTGTTCTAATCTTGCTCCTGTCCCAGACCTTTCCCCTCTCCCTCTCCACTTATTTCCCATGTAGACTTGTCCCCTTCCTTCCCTGCTGTCATAAAACTGAGTTTATTTCCAACATTAGTCTGCTTGCACCTGTTCTCACTGTCTTTTCGCTTGTGGATTTTCTTATTTTTCCTTCTACCTTGAAGATGGAGGCAATACGTTCCTACGAAACGTCGGTTAACACCACATCTACATGGTGCCACATCACAGAAGACTGCTTTCTTCATAGTCACCGCCGTAAAAACCTCAAATCTTACACAGTATTAAGTTAGTTTACATTAGACTATTTATTTTACCATAATTTACATCAGTGTTTGATCATCCAATGTTTCCAATAGAGTATTCATACTTCAGTTTATCTGTCCATTCATACAGTCATTCTGCAACAAAATCAAACCATGACTTCCTCTCCCTTCATGTCCAGTCTTCTCAATTTGCAGCAGCTGCCATTCGGTGGGAAGTTTCTGTTAATGAGGCAGTCCCCTGGGACATTTTCATTTATGTGTTTCTGATTTATATAGTGGAACTCCACGATTTACTACATTATTTTGATAGTAAACTAGCATGACACACTGCAGCTAATTATGCACCAGTGCCTTAGATTATCATAAACGACTTTTCATCTTTAATGAAATATAGACCAGTTTCATAACTTTTAATAATTTTCATACATCTTGTGTTGTTCTTCATGTTTTCATAAAATGTACAATTTATTTCAGTTATGGGTAGTTTCATACATAAATTATAACCATCTTAACACCATCCATTTCTATAGTAAATTTATCATGAAAAGGACAAAATGGGGGAGGGGTCCCCCATATGTTTCGGGAAGAGCATCCTAGTATTCATGTAATATGGTGGAGCTGCGTGCTTCTCTATCACTACATTCACTGATTAAATTACAGTACATGAATTTACCAAAAAAATTGACTTATGGACTGAATGTAGACTACCTCCAAAATATCTTTTAGCACATAGTGCTTATTCCATTATGGATTTTGCAATTTTCTGAAGTACATGTATATTTATCTCTGATATTTACAGGCTAAAAGCATCCCCACAGACTGATTAAAAATGTAATGATTTTATGTTGATAAATTAGTACCTTTCTGGATTATTCCTGATCCTAACAAATACTGTTCATGCTAGTTAATCACTTCTGCTCATAACCAGACATATAATGTGAGAGAGACAGATTTGAGTTTTGGGGTTTTCGTGGTATGAACAAATGGGTTTTGACACTTTGCAGCCTTGAAGGTGGTTACCATCTTTGAAGAAACCTGGCTCTTCCATCTCCAGGGTAGGAATTTGTAGAGTTTGGATGTGATTTCTTTCTGTAAGAATGATGGACAGATCAGGCTGATGTTACCAAGAAGTATAGTCTTTCAGAGCCAGGAAATGGGGAACAGGAGCCCCATTGCCCAATTCCCATTGGCCTGGACAGGACTCTCTCCTCTCCTCCATTTCATGGCTTTTATAGATCCATCTTCTTGTGAATGTTAGTAAGTACTCAGAGTTGCCTGACTGTAAAATATTATCTTCCAATCTGTGAAATAAGACCAGTTATATTTAGGCTCTCAGTTAAGGAAAATATATTTCTTGCAAATTAACACTGTAACCATCATAATTGTAATAATTCTTTGTTATTCAAGTGTATACAACTATGAAAACACAAAATTATGGTTAAAAGTATGTCCAATATATCAAAGGACATGTCTGCCAAAAGCAGTGGATTGGTTAGAATTCTATGTGTGTTGTGTAAGTGCCTAAAATTCTTCCCATACTGACAGTTTCTAGACTCCATATGCATATGTTATAAAATGATTTGTATTTCAATAGGCCTGCCTGATCCTCCAGTAGACATTCAAGTAGAGGCAGGCCCACAGGATGGGACTTTGCTGGTCACATGGTTGCCTGTTGGGCTTAATGCTTCCACCAATGGGGCTCCAGTGACAGGATATGCTGTCTATGCTGATGGCAAGAAAGTTACTGATGTTGACAGTCCAACAGGTATGGTTTTATAACAGGGGAACCAGAAGGAGTTAAGAAGCCACACAGGTATTTTGTCCTTTACCTTACTTACTTACTCATGGAGCTGAGCCCTTCTGGAGGAACCGCCAATTCTGCAGCCACTCAAGAATATCCCAGCATTTTATGGAACGTGAAGGTTCATTACCGTGTTCACAAGGGCCCTCCACTGGTCCATATCCTGAGCCAGATCTATCCAATCCATACCATCCCATCCTATCTCTCTAAGATCCATTCTAATATTGTCCACCCACTCACGCTTTGGTCTTCCTTGTGGTCTCTTTCCTTTTGGCTTTCCCACCAATATCCTATATGCATTCCTCATCTCCCCCATTCGTGCTACATGACCTGCCCACCTCATCCTCCTTGACTTGATCATTCTAATTATACTTGGAGAAGAGTACAAGTTATGAAGCTCCTCATTATGCAGTTTTCTTCAACCTCCTGTCACTTCATCTCTCTTTGGTCCAAATATTCTCAACACCCTGTTCTCAAACACCCTCAGTCTATGTTCCTCCCTTAATGTCAGAGACCAAGTTTCACACCCATACAGAACCACAGGCAAAATTATAGTTTTGTATATTCTAATTTTTATGTTTTTGGACAACAGACAAGAAGACAAAAGTTTCTGGACTGAACGGTAGCAAGCATTACCAGAGTTCAATCGCCTCTTAATTTTCTACTGAATCAGGTTTCAATCTGTTATCATTGTTCCCAAATATCTGAACTGTGCCACATTTTCAAAACATCTGTTTCTTGTCTTTATATCATGATTTTGCCCTGCATTTTGGTGATGAGACAGTAACATATACTTAGTTTTCTCTGTGTTTACTTCTAGACCAATCTCTTTACTTGTGTCAATTAAAGTTTGTGTGTTTTTCTTTATGGTGTCTACATTATCACCCAGTAGATTCACATCATCAGAGTAGACCAACAGCTGATGTGTCCCATTTAATTTCAGTCCCACCTGGTTTCCCCGGACCTTCCTAATTGCATATTCTAAGGCAAAGTTGAAAAGGGGTGGCGATAGAGCATCTCATTGTTTTAGACCATTCTGGATAGGGAATTTATCAGACAAATATTTACATACACGGACTTTACTATACCTTTCGTTTAAACACATTTTAAAAAACCTAACTAGTTTCATGGGTATCCCAAACTATTATAAATTGTACAATACTTCCCTCCTAACTGAATCATAGGCTTTCTTGAAATCTATGAATAGCTGATGTACTGTCTCATCGTACTCCCATTTTTTCTCCAAGGTCTGACAAATGCGAAAGATCTGCTCTGTAGTTGATCTTTTACGTTGAAACCCACACTGATGATCCCAAATAATTTCATCTATATATGGACTTAACCTTGAAAGAAGAATATTGGACAAAATTGTATATGAAGTTGATAGCAGTGATATCCCCCAATAATTACTACAGTCAGTTTTATCACCCTTCTTGTGCACTGGTACAATAATAGACTCCTTCCACTGATCAGGCAATTTTTCCTTATGCCAAATAGAAGTAATTAGATTGTGGATCTTAGAACGTAATATTTCTCCTCCTCCTTGAATAAATTCTGCTGGAATTTGATCACTACCTGGCGATTTATACCGTTTCAATTTTGCAATAGCACTTTCAACCTCAAAAGGGCTCAGCTGTATGGATTTCTGTCTGCCTAACAGCACTGACCCTATGTACATTCAATATCTGAGAGAAGCAATTCCTCCACCTATTCAAAATTTTGTGGGAATCTGCAAGCAGATCATCATTCTCATCCTTCATTAAGTTACTGCTAGGCTGGTAACCCTTCTTAAAGTAATTTATTCCTCTATACAGGTCTCTAATGTTCTTGTTCTTACTGTTCATTGCAAGCTCATCAATTTTGTCGTTCAGATATTCCCTCTGTTTGTTCCTGAAATGCCTGCTGGTTTCATGTCTTATATTGTTCAGATTATCCCCATTTAACTTGCTTGGATCCTGTAACCATTACAATTTGGCCTGCTTTCTTTAATGTAATAATTTTGAGCATGTCCTTTACCTTACTGTCAACAAGTGAAATTTCAGATTTGGTATATGAAGAAATTTGTTATTCCTTATCTCTCCTTTAGGACTCTGCAACATAGCTGGAAACACTGGTCGTATATTCTTTTTATATGAGACTTTTCAATCATTATGCTTTATATTGGTGATGAAGTAATAAAATCTATCAAATATAATATCTAGTATTTAGGACTTTAATTATTAGATAAAATATGCCTTACATGTTTCAGCCCCATAGGCCATCATCAGAGGCTTACAAGTTAGAGAAGAAATTGCTCAGTGTACATTAATTTCTAGAAGTAACATTTGCATTGAAATCCCTTTATAATTGAAAGCGTTGAGGATTCTTGCTTATTTATAATTATAAATAAACAGATTATAATCTGTAAACAGGTAGACCTCGTGGTCTCTGGAAAAAGAATCATCACTCACTCCCTTATGGAGCTGAGTCCTTCTTGAGAAGCCGCCAGTTGTGCAGCTACTCAAGAACTTCCCAGCATTTTGTAAACCTGAAGGTTCATTATCATGTTCACAAGAGCCTGAGCCAGATTAATCCAATCCATCCCATCCTTTCTCTCTAAGATCCATTTTAATACTGTTCACCAACGTACGCCTTGGTCGTCCCAGAGGTATCTTTCCTTCTGGCTTTCCCACCAATATCCTGTATGTATTCCTCTCCTCCCCCATCCATGCTACATGCCCTGCCCATCTCATCCTCTTTGACTTGATCATTCTAATTATACTTAGAGAAGAGTCAAGTTATGAAGCTCCTCATTATGCAGTTTTCTCCAACCTCCTATCACTTCATTTTTCAGTGTTATCAAGTAGCCACATTTTTGGGTTGCATGTTTCAGTTCTTTGTATTTTAGTGTATTTCTATTGAACTACATTCTTACTAGTTCAAATTATAAAACCGATTAAAATCGCCTGCTTAAATTAAAGCCGATCTATGTTTGTAAATAAGCAGAAAAATACAACAGTTTGATGATATGAAGAAAGTACAAGTAATGTTTTATGTAGAAAAAAAGAATAGGAATTCTAGAACTACATAAATTTATATTAATTGATTATTTTCTTCCAAGGAGATTTTTATTGTTGATATTTGCAGGTGACCATGCGCTAATTGACATCAATAAATTGCTGGGACTAAATCCAAAACAGGTTACGGTGCGCACGAAGTCTCGTGATAGCCAGTCAGCTGACAGTGTTCCCACTCCCATTCCTTCTGTGGCTCTCAAAAATAAAATTAGCAAGGTATGGATAAGGAAGCATTCTTGTGTTCATTTTTAGCCTTCTTTTCTGAAAGTAAATTTTGTAACACATGGAGGGCACCGCCTCCACCCATCCATCAAGAGAGGTCTTGCTTAGTGTGGCCCAGATGCCTTTCAATCTGTAACACAATATCTTAAATTATATAGTAACCTATTTGCTTCAGACATAATATAATGATAACAAGAGGGTAAGATGGAAATTACTTAGAACTGAAAGTAATAGATTACAATCTACGATATATTAAATGCTCATATTAAACTATTTCTCCTTTTCTCTCTCTCTCTCTGTCTCTCTCTCATGCACATGACCCTCTGTACACTGTAAATCATCAAGTCTGGAATTCAGAATTCAAGATGTCTGATCTGTAAAGTCTGACATGTGCTTGGTGATTTTGAGAATATGTTGCTACTTGAGGGATATGTGATGTTATAGATTTAATGACAAAATGGATGAATATATTTGATAAAGGATGGTGTGGATAAGCTGGATCGGAGACAGAGGGCACAATATGGATCAGCCGTCCCACCTCACATGCGCCACCATATGCAGGGTAGCCAATCGGGGCATAGAAACATGAGGGTTGATGCTCATGGACAAGTTATAATAGACCCAGAAGAAAATCTATCTGATAAAGAGATCTACCCAGCAGGGAACCACATCAATATCCCGTCCATAGGTAAATGTATGCTTCTGTATTCCTTGCATTAACAAATTGTGGACAGGTCACACTGAAAGCCATGATTTAAATGCCATAGCATTACATATGGTTCACATAGATGTATGTTTTTAGCAGCTGTGCTGTTCTTCATCTCATGGATTGCATGTGCTGACATATTGGCTCAGGGTTACTAGTAGCTTGAAGAGAGATGTTTAGGTCTCCTAATAATAAGCACAGACCTCTTGTAACCTTGCTCTAAGATGACTGCATACAACAATCTGATCTGATGAAAATATAGACTGACATAATGAAGAATTTTTGTGGCTCAAGCTGCATGTGGTCAAGTTCTTGTTACTCTGTTTCCCACCAGATACAGACCACTAGTAACCCATGCCCTTAGAAAAAAAACAATGCATTCATTCTGTTCTATTCCCTCTATTGTTTTATGATTTTCTGCAGGATGAAACATGGTTTTGGATGGCAAAGTAATAGTGAATGATGACAGTTTGCCAAAACTTTATACAGATCAGTCTCTTACCATATCTGCTGATGAAATTAATGAAACAGAAACCCTGCATACTGTAGCTACCACCAGTTCAGTTTCTGTGCATATTTTTAGACCTGTATATTCTCAAAGGGCACCTCCACACTCTCTCCGATTAAACAGCAGCATGATCTTCAGAAACCCTAAGTCCCAGCGAACATTCTCCTTCAATGACCTTCATGTAGGCATGGTGGACTGGCACATTGGTATTTATGCTCCAATCAGTGCCATCATTCTTTCAAATTTCTTCATAATCAGCTTCCTCATTTGTGTAGTCATACTAACCATCATTCTCATTGCAGTTTTACAACTTTCTTTAATTTTATCAGTGTGCTTCCTAATGGTTCTTCAGGTCAGTTAAGAAATTTTCATGGCATTGACTATGTTAGCAGTGTGTTTATTATGTTCATACCTAATAATCACATGTATGTAATTTCTGCTCAAGGTTGATAGGTTTCCTTAATCTTTTGCCACTGGTAGCACCTCTGTCACTGCTAGCATGTTTGCTCAGTGTGACTGATTTTATGTCATGGATTACACAAAATTCAGGAGATAACATAAAATGTAATTTGAGATGCTTTACAGTCTGCAACTGCAGGAAGACTGAGCATGCCTGTGCCAATGGTGAGCAAGCATGGAGCTTGCCTGTCTATGAATTGTTCACATGCACCATCATTACACTTACTATACTCATATGCATTGTGACACTGATTTCCTTTTTAAGTGAAATTGTATTACGGCAAGATCTCATAAAGTAAGCTCATTGATAACAAATCATGCATATATAGCAAACTGTATATGTTGCATATATATTCATATCAATATCTAGGAGACTGCTCATAACTTGAAACTTTGTATGTTGGGCCAGAAATATTAAGCAAATAATTGTGCTTCAGAAATCACCAAGGATTCTGCCAGTGAAGGCAACTTCAGTGAAGACGATTACTTGGATGGTCGAAGAGGAGCTCGAGGATATCATGGACCCAGTGGGGGACATTATGACCCTCGAGGCATTCCACGTAGTCACACTGAAAGGGGTCGACCTCCTCCTTTACCGCATGAGAGAGGACGCATGGACCACCACCCTCCACCTCCTCGTGGCAGGGATAGGAATGATGACAGGTGGGAAATGAACACAAGACCATCTTCTTAACAAATCCAAAAGAATGTGTGATAGCAGAAACTATTGATGTTTGAGATATGAGGGTTTCATGGTCGTAAAAAGTCTGATTTTGGTCTTCTGGTTTGTAATGCATATTGTCTCACAGGAGGTTACTGGCATCTCAGAGGAAGGAACAGGATCCTCCAAACTTCTGATAGCTGCTATGAAACTACACAATATCATTAATTAAGAAACCACAGTTGAAGCTAGTGATGCATTCCAAAAATGTCGATGCATATGTCCACATGGTTACCATCATGAAAGTGTAGGCATTAGACCCAAATTATTACAACAGATGCTGCACATTTTTTATTACAATACAAGAATTCATGATGCCACACTAAGTGGTGTTAGTGTAATTACTCCTTAGTAATTCACTCAACTGAGGCTAAATATTTAAAAAAAAAAATGTATGATGTAATGAGTCTTCTGGACAGTGGCCAGTTTGTATAAAAGCTACCCCTTTTGGGATTTGGCTTAAGAATCAGTCTGCTATTTCATTTTTCTGGTGAGTTGTGACAGCAGGGTTAAGGTTCTGAGATGAAGCAACAGAGAAAGTTATAGAATATATGAGAACAGCCATTCCTTATTAGGATTTTAATCAAGTAACTGTTAAATAGGAAACAGAAGGATAACCATTAAATAACATTTCATTGTATGAGTTTGAAGGATTACATATTTTGGTTCTAACCCTTTTTTTTTTTTTTGTAGATCCCTGCTCTGGTAAGTGCTCTTTCCTCTCTGATTTGATTCGCATACCATAACCAGTTCATTTATCTTCCCCTCTTCTTATTTGTTTATTTGTGGTTTTATTTAATGACACTCACAGTAGCTCATATGCTAGCTTCAAATTGTTGGGTGGTTAATGAGTGCTAAATTACAAGGGGGGGTGAAATGAAGCAGTTGTGGTCTAATTTAAGGTACTGTCAAGACACTTGCTTGAAAGGACAAAGGGAAACCATTAAAAACTCGAGAGATCTGATCTCTTGGCTGAGATTTGAACATTGGACCTCCTGAATACCAAACAGAAATCCTATCCAGTCTACCACTATGTTCAGTATTATTCTTATATAGACTCAGAAAAGATTTCAAGACAAGGCTTTGTGAATCACTGTCATTAAGTTGATTGTCTTTTTTTGTTCTTATCTGCAAACACACATAGTCTTACTGTTTTCTCATTTTAGCCACTAATCTTAGTTCAGAATCATCTTTGACCATGACCCAGTTACTACAGTCCAGAAATAATCAGAAAGTATTGTTGTAATCATATTGGAATATGAAATGAGTTTGTAGAATCTTGTGTTTCACTGTAGTCTTCTTTAAAATTAATATGATTTTACAACTGTCTCCTTGCAGGGACCAGTATTATGGAGACCCTCGTGGTGACCCTAGAGGCAGACACGGGGGTCATCCTGGAGACAGGGGGCACCGGGGAGGACTCCCTCCTGGTCGGGTTCCTCCACCCCATCAACAGCCAGGGCCACCTCCAGGAGGTCCAGGACCTGGCCTAAGAGACAAAAGAGTGAGATGGTTTGTGGCTTTATATGACTACAACCCTACAACAATGTCACCAAACCCAGATGCTTGTGAAGAAGAGCTGCCATTCTCGGAGAATGACACCATCAAGGTATTAAGAAATTTGGAAAATACCAGTATATAGTATATCATAATACACATTGTATTTGTGATAGTGGGCATGAAGACATCCACTGTAGTAAGTCATTCAAAAGGAACATAACATTTTTCTATGATGCATTAACTGGGAGAAATAGGGTTGTATGGACAGAGAGCAAGCTAAATGTTTGACTGTTACATATACAGATTCTTTTCAAATTTTATGATAAAATAGTGCTTGAGGTAGAAGGAAAAATGTTCAGCTATTTGATATTTGAGGTTCCTACACTAGTTACTGTGATAATTATGTATTCTGGTAGGTAATTTCCAACTTTTCTAAGGAATATGCTGCTTCCATCTTCAGAGTAGAAGAGTGAAAATGGAAGCGGCCTGTTCTTCTGAAAGAGACTTCACAACATAACATCCCAGAATACATCAATGAAGGAATTAGTATCAATATCCAGTATATGTGTAATGGAAGATAAAGAATTCAGCAGGAACATGCTGAACTTTCAGAATACTGAGTAAAATATCCTTAAGTAGGTATTGAGAAAGGAATTAAATTTAGTGTCAATGTCCCCATTACTGAATATAGTATTTCATGTTTCATAGCTTAATTTCATAACAAAGTGAGCCATTGAGTGAGTGTCTCTTTTCCTTATCAATTGCTGTTGTTAGTTCTGAGGTTCCAAATCAATATAAATATCTCTAAGAGTTGTGCTTCATGGTCAGACAAACCATTCGAGTGAGGTCTAAGAGTATATATATCTAATTATTAACTATCAATGAAAATATTATCAATTGCTGATACATTATTGTTTTGAGTTTTTGTTGGAAAGTTTATGATACCGGAGAGAATTTAGGATTGTAGCAGAGAGTTCAAACATATTTTCCTGTTATTGTCAACAAGATAACTTACATTTATGTTTCCACAAATAAAAACTTCATATTTTGGGTATGCAATATATTAAGGATGGAATCTAGTCTGTTTAAAAATTCAGAGAAGTTCCTAGATAGTGCTCTATATAGGACCCAAATACATATTGTCGCATATTGGGCATATAACGCGACAAATGACTTCACGCCATATTTGATATAGCGAATTTTATTTCACATTCGCACTTACAATCACCCAAATTACAGATTTACGATTACTGCTATCTGCAGTATCACAAATAGTACACTCCAAATGCCAGAATACAACTGACTAGTTGCTGGCTAACTCGGAACTAACTCGGAGGTAGCTCGTGGACTGACTCGGAGGTAGCTCCAGGACTGACTGTGAATAGCCTTCGCTGCTCCTTATGTAGCCTCGATCGGACAATTGTCGTCTGGCGCCATGTTGCTAGCCACGCTGTCCGGAGTTGTTGACTGCTGCCTAGCAACCGTGATATCCCTCGGTGACGTCACTGCTGTTGACTCACTTGCATAGCTTCAAGGTTGCGGAGACTCGGTTAACGTCGGCTCCTCTCGGCTCACTTCGGTTCCGCTCGTGACGTCAACGCGGGGAGAGTTGCGGGGTGATTACTTGCCTATTACGCGAGCGCTACGTTACCGCTACATGCAGCTGGGGAGGTAAGGGTCAACATGTCACACTGCTCCCTCCTTAAGGCTGTTCATCCCGAATAGCCTAACGGTGCATCCCCGTTCTTTTTCTTTGGAGGCTGTTCTTGCAGCATGTCCTGTTTTGGATACTTCTCGCAGCGACTATCATCCGGCCGTTACAACAGCTCCCCTCTTAAGACCTGCTCGTCTCGAGCGGTTTCCTTTCAGCTCGCCAGAAGATCACATTCATCCATCGCTTTTTCCCATGGCACATTCNCTCTCTGGGGAGGCTGGTTCTTCTACATTACCGGTTCCTCCTCTGCTTGAAGTCTTATTTTCCGTTTTGGAGGCGGTCGACACTTCCACAGTGTCCAGTCCTTGATCATTTCTTTCTTCGGAGGATCCTTATGTCGACGTAACAGCTCTTGATGCGTTGTTTGCACTCGCTGACGTCGTCGTTCCTCCTGGTCTTCCAGCCACTTGCTGGCGTGAGACCGTGGCGCCAAACCCTTTCTCCGGCATCCGAAGGTTCCCTGGGGAGTTTCCTTCTTGAAGTCACTTCTCCAACATCGTGCCACTGTCGCGTTATGGGATATCTTCCTGCAGATGGCAGCCAACCTTATCCGGGACGCATGATCTCCTCA